GGAGCTTTTTGGTTTTTCTAGGTATAGAATTATATCGCCTGCAAATAGTGCTAACTTAAGTTCTTCTTTTCCTATACGTAATTTCTTCCATATAATTTCTCTGGCTAGTGTTTCAAGAACTATGTTAATTAAATAAGAAGTAGTAAAAGAGGGTATCCCTGTTTTGTTCTAGTTTTTAGAGTGAATGTCTTCAATTTTTCTCCATTTAGAATGATGTTGGCCTGGGGCTAGCATACATAGCCTTCACATGGGACTGCTTTTAGTCATAGGACATGCAGTTTTTTTTAGTAGGTACTGCCAAATATTTTTTGCAAGGTGGGAAAATATTTACTCCTAAATTTCTATGCTTTATGAACATGATTTTATTCTGCAGTTTTCACTCTAGGTTGCTGTTACTCATTAATGTGGGAGATATTTGCCACCCATCTCAGATTATATACAAACACCCATTCATGTTCACATTTATTCAGTATGTATTTAGAGGTGGAAATCTGTCTTGTCACAGGCTTGGAGGCTTAGTAGTGAAAGTTTGCCCTTAGGAATTAAAAAGAAACAGCTTGAGATAGGTAGGTAGTTAGATGATAGATAATCACAGGTAAAGATTAAGTATTGAATAGATGTCTGGTTTATGGTGTATCAGCGAGCATGAATTTCAACTTAGTATTTAATTAATAGAATGAAACCAGAAGGATGAAGTGATGCAGAGAGGTCCCTTGCATTCTGCCTCTGGCATAATTCATTTGCAACAGGCTGAATTGTATTTTATGGCTGCTATTTTTCTCTAATTTGTCCTTGATTCCTTTGAGAGGAAGCAGTAACTCAATATATTAATCACCACTTAGAATCCTCAGCACTGAGCATTTAAATTCTACCAAGTATGTGTCAGCATGTGGTTGATAAAGAATGGAAAATTAAGGCTTCAGTTTCTTTGAACATAATGGTTCATTCAAGTAACCTACCTGCATGGGCTAGAGAGCCAAATAACTAATAATATTCCTGATATAAGAAAAAGAATTGATAAAGTAAGGAGCTTCTAGGACCAGTCAGAAAAGCCTATTAGGCTGGATTTTCAAATAATAAAATTCCCTTCCTTTTTGGGCAAAGCTATATTAGTTTACCCATTCATTCTTTATCACTCATTCACATAATGATTCAACATTTATTTGTACTCTGTGGCAGGCCTTGTTCTACTAGTAATACAGTCCAGAACAAAGCAAGAGTTTTTGTTATGAAGCTTATCTTCTCAGGAGGCTAAGAGGTAAAATCATGTATTACTCTGGAGAAAAATAAAAACAGGGTATTGGTTTTGGGTACGTAGGCCTGGTGTTGGGCACTGCTTGGTTGCTTTTCATAAGGGAAGGTCAGGGAGAGCCCCAGTGACATTTGTTCAGGGATTGAAGGGATTGAAGCAGAGTGGCTATCCACTGAGTTGTCCATGTGGAGTGGGGCAATGCCTGATGGGCTGAAGGCTATAAAGAGGCCTTTGAGGTAGGTAGTAAGGATAGCTGGAGGTGAGGTCAGAGGGATGGCAGAAATCTGGATTAGACAGAACCCTGCAGGCCATAATAATGACCTTGGCTTTTTCTTGGAGTGGGAATCTGCTTAAGGATTTTGGATAAATGATGATTCAAAATTTTTTTTAAAAGTTTTATCTTGAATAAGGGTAGAAACAGAAACCAAATAAGATCTCTAACTTTTGTGTTCAGGCAAAAATTAAATGGCATAAATGCTTTCTTTTTTACTTACTACCATCACTATGCCTTATTAGTAATGGTAAATTGTGCTCATCCAAATATGAACAATGTAATAACTTTGCCACATTAGTAATAACTTAGTAATGTGCAAATTAATTATAGGCAGTGGATATTATAAAATAAGTTCTTTATTTAATGCTTTTCCATTTACCTAGCTTTTTTCTGGACACTTTCTCCTCTTGTCCTTTATTTAATAATGTTATACCATTCTTTCAGCCACCCAAACTTGTACTTCAGCCATTTATGACTACTTCTTCTTCATCCTCTATACAGGGAATTTGTATTGTTGCCTTGCTGTCTCCTAAATCCATTTCTTTCTGACATTCTTAACTTTGGTTTTTGACCTTCCTTTCATTTCAGAGTTAGTGACCCAATTTTCCTTCTTTAATCTATGTGAAATTCAGCAAAGAGAATATAGGTTTCTGAAGTGAGACCTTGATTTAGGTTGGTTCAGGTCTTTGTTCTTCCATGTACAATAAGGTCTTTGTAGTTTTTATACCTCAATAATACCAACATCTAATTTAGAGTATTAGTATTGAAGATTGCAATAAGGAGAAATGGGGTTGTATAGAGTGTTTAAAGAGTCTAGTAGCAAGAGGCACTTAAAACTGGTTCTTTCCACTATTATTTGACATCACTCCATCCTTGATCTTTCTGGCAAATTCTAAAGCAGAGCTCCATTGTGTCACTCTTCTTTTCAAAACCTGCAATAGTTCCCTATTGTCTCACACATCAAATACAGATACTTCTGCCTGCCATTCAGATATCCACTCTCTCTCAACTTTTTTCCCCATTATTCTTCTCCAATATATTTTATGTATTAGCCAAAGTCACTATTTTATAATCCTGTTATTTTTTAAAAGTCATCTCTTAAAATCATGACAATCCTTCAACCTGTCTCAAATACCATTGCCTTAACAAAGCCACTGACAATCTGAAAATGTTATCTTCTAGTCCTGAAACATCCTCATACTTGAAGGATGCAGCATCATGCTGATGCTCCGCAGCCAGAGAGCCCAGGTCCTGCCACTTAATGTCATCCTGTGGATGTTATTTAATCTGTGTCTTGAGTTTTCCCCTGCAAAATAAGGATAATGATACCTACCTCAAAAGGGTGTTGTGAGCACTGAAAGAGTTATTGCATGTAAAGCACTCTGCATAGTGTCTGGGACTTGGAAATCAGTTTCTATTAATGTAGGCATAAATTTGAACATTATTTTATCATCAGGACCCATATTTTTACTAGGATTTCAAATAAAAGCTGTTTGAGATACACTAGAAAGTGACATGAACTAGAAAACAAGAGCCTTGCAGTATTGGTTCCCACTACTAACCAAGCTGTGTGATGTTGAATATGAACATTTATCTTCTCTAGATATCTTCTTTTGTCTCCAAAAAAAAAAAAGAAAGAAAGAAAAGAAAAGAAAAAAATCACTAGCTCTTTCAGTTCCAGTAGCCACAAAAATATTTAATAGCCACTACCAACTCAACCCTACCAAAACAACTCTTAATTTCCAATCTCTAAATGTGCTCATTTCCTCAGTAAATGATACTACCATCTACCCAATTTGTCAAAAATCTGACCCATCTTTAAATCCTATTTATTTTGCTATCTAAATTTAATACATCTACAAATCTTATCAATACTGCTCCCAAAATATATTCTTATTTCCAATTACTTCACCTTGATCTCCTCTGCTACAACCCTAATCCACTATTCTCTCCTGTACTGTTGCAATTAGGTTCCTAATCCATCTTTTGGCCTCCATTCTTGCCTATTTTCCATAGAGCCAAAGTGCTATTTAAAACACACACCAAGCAAGCACAGTGTCCTATGCCTTTAATCCCAGCTACTGGCCACTAGAGAGGTTGAAGCAAGAGAATCACTTGAGTTCAGGAGTTTTGAGACCAGCCTGGGCAACATAGGGCAAGATACTATCTCAAAAAAATAAATATTAAACATAAATCAGATGGTATCATTCCCCTGCTTAAAACTCCTCAGTGGCTTTTCATCATAGAATGATATCACACCACTTTATCCGCTCATATCACTCTCCCATTATGTCCTTTTTTCTCTTCCTGCTTCCTCACCATATTCATGGTGCCTTGAGCCTTAGCACAATCAATTCTGATTGTCATCCCCAGTCCTTAGCTGTCCTCGTGACTTGCTTCTTGTCATTTAGATCTCAACTCTAATTGCTCTCTGCCTTCTATCAGCAGTGCTCTATCACACCATCTGGTTTTATTTTTTCCTAAGGCTTACCAAAAAATAGTCTATATACTTTCTTATCCATAATAATAGGGCCTATTTCTTAGCACAGTGCCTGGAATATATTAGGTATGCAGGGGAAAACCTTGACTAAATCACTGAAAAATTATAAATCCACTTTTAATGAGGTATCAAGGTTTTAATTACATGAGCAAGTACAGTTACTTGTAAAATGTGAGGACTACTGGTTTTTCCTTTCGTTTAATACCTTATCCTTAATGAACATTAAGTACGTCTGTGCCAGAAATGACTGTAAATAAAACAATACAATCCCAAGTCCTTCCCCGCCCCAATCTCCTAAATAGTTCTCACATTTATTATTTTCTCCATCTCCTCTCCAATAGACCACCTTAGTGTATATTACCATGCTCTTCGGTCTTTTCCTTGTAGGTCCTAATCTTCCAATGTATCTATCCTCCTGAATGCAGTCAGTGAACTTTTCAGTTGCTACTCTATCGAGGCTTTCATTGTTTCCTCAAGAAAGACCAGAATCTGCGCTTGTCTCCACCTCCTTCGTCTCGCCAGCCCTCACTCTCAACCAGGCCGCACTCCTCCTCCCTCGGGTTCCCGCCTGCCACCCAGCTGGGTGGCCCTAGCTTCGCGCTTCCAGTAACATTCTACAGAGCACCCATGTTGCCTACTTTTTCGGATTTTAGATTGTGCTTTCCTCGGGGAAGCCCTCCCTGATTAGGCCAAGCCCAGTTCCCTATCCTACAGCCCCACATTACCAAGGGCGTCTCTTTCAGAGTTCATATTTGTTTTATAAGTATATTCTCCCAAATATGATAACCTCAGCACCGTGCGTTGGCAACAGCCAGAGCTCAAAAGCTATTTGCGGAAGAAACACCAAAACTAACGGCCCAACCACTACTCGCCCCACCCCTACGGTTGCGGCGCCCCTGTTACGCATTAAGCAGGCGCCCCGGACAGGCGTCTCGGGCGCCTGCGCGAAGGGGCGCGCATGCGTGGAGGGGGGAGCCTGCTGACAGATTCTCGGAGGCATCGGTGGTGGTGGCGGCCCTGGACTGCGGGGAATGGGAATCCTAGAGCCCTGAGTGAGCACCGCCCCCGCCTCCCTGCCCCCGACATGGCTCAGGAGAAGATGGAACTGGACCTGGAACTGCCTCCGGGTACGGGCGGGAGCTCGGCGGAGGGCGGCGGCGGGGGCCTTAGGAGGTCTAACAGCGCCCCCCTGATCCACGGCCTCAGTGACACTTCTCCGGTGTTCCAGGCCGAGGCGCCTAGCGCCAGGCGGAACAGCACAACGTTCCCGAGCCGCCACGGCCTGCTGCTGCCGGCTTCCCCCGTCCGCATGCACAGCAGCCGCTTGCACCAGATCAAACAGGAGGAAGGCATGGACTTGATCAACCGAGAGACGGTCCACGAGCGAGAGGTGCAGACCGCAATGCAGATAAGCCACTCCTGGGAGGAAAGTTTCAGCCTGAGTGACAACGATGTGGAGAAATCCGCCTCCCCAAAGCGCATCGATTTCATTCCGGTGTCACCAGCACCTTCACCTACCCGGGGAATTGGAAAGCAGTGTTTTTCACCATCCTTGCAAAGTTTTGTGAGTAGCAATGGATTGCCTCCAAGCCCTATTCCCAGCCCAACTACTCGATTTACTACCCGGAGAAGCCAGAGTCCCATCAACTGCATTAGACCAAGTGTTCTTGGACCATTGAAAAGAAAATGTGAAATGGAAACTGAGTATCAGCCAAAGAGATTTTTCCAGGGCATCACCAACATGCTTTCTTCTGACGTTGCACAGCTGTCAGATCCTGGTGTGTGTGTATCTTCAGATACCCTGGATGGAAACAGCAGCAGTGCCGGGTCTTCTTGTAACTCACCAGCGAAAGTCAGCACTACCACCGACTCTCCTGTGTCACCTGCCCAAGCGGCCTCTCCCTTTATTCCAGTAGATGAACTTTCATCTAAGTGATTCTCCCATTCTGAAACTTTCTTTCTTTTTTTTCAATGGAGAGACAGAAAAATCAAGTTGGAGCAAGCACTGAACTTTGTTGATTAATCTGAGTCTATTTCCTATTTGACCCTTTTCCCTTTTTTTGAAATTTCCTGAAATGTTATTCTAGAGAACTTCTATGTCAGGTTCCTGCGGATGCCCTTGAATTCAGTGTAGTAATATTTTTAGACTTTTTCCCAATAAGTGTGTTGAAGCATACATTTTACGCTGCTAATATGTCTAAATACATATGTTATCCCTTGATTTTTTTAAATAATTGAGAGCTCTATTTATTTATGGGAATATTAAGTTCTGATGAAAATATAAATGTTGAATTAATCAGTATAGTAAACTGATGTTTTAAAATTCCATACTTTATGGCCACACTAATTTTTAATGTCATTTTTAATGATTGCTAATTTTCTTTTGATGAACAATAACTATTTACAGCTTTTTAAAAATGTTAGTTTTAACATATCAATCCAGTGGTTGTCTGTTTTACCCAGGAATCCTTGGGTATTAATTTTCTGGGTGCAGAAGTGGATGGGAGGGGGAGATGATAAAGGAACAAATTATAAAAGTTTGCAACAAACCTTTTTAAATTAAATATGTAAAAATAACCATATTTAAGAAAAATGTTTTCTAGTGAAATTTTATTAGTAATTCTAGTTAATCATACAAATATAACTATGATATAGAAAGTGAACTTTTAAAAAAATATTTTTAACCAGAAAGTGCTTTCTTTTGGGTATAATCCTAAAGTGCAATGGGGCAGTGCCTTGCAGTCCTAGCTCACTGTGTATAGGCTGAGGTAAGATTCTTTGTGCCACTTCAAACTTAAAAGTTTTTCAAATATAGATATGTGGGAAGCCCTGTTGAACTTCAGCAGATAATGCTTCTCAATGATTTATGTACTTTAAAATATCCAATCTTGCCTCAGTTCTGGACATTCTTGCCAATGAGGAGCCAGAGCAATTTTAGGCTGCTTTTCTGCTCTGCCCATCTGTCACCTTCCTGCCTCTCCCTTGTTCAGGAAGGAAGCAGCTATTCCTTTGCCAACAGGTTCTTTCTTTCCACTTCCCATGTAACAGGGCACTGTCATTTAGACATAGGTACAGTGTGACTCAGTTTCTAACAGTGAGCAACAATAGGACTTGTTTAACCTCTGTGGTAAAGCTTTAGCTGGATTTGGTTACCTTGGGGAGGTTGGTTAAATAAGGCTGGTCATTTGCAAGAGAAAATCAGTAGAATCACATAGGTAAATCATTGTTTAACTTAGATTTTGTTAAGGGTAGAATTGTAGAATATTCTTTGTCTTTGACAACTAAGACAATAAGAGTAGCAAATCACTTTCATATTATACTTCCTTATGATACCTCATCTATTTTCCTTAACTAGATAGATGGGTGGGTGGAAGAAAGACAGGCAGATAAAACGAATGGAAAGGGTTAAAAAAAATTAAAAGACTCCAAGATACCAAGACAAAAACCCTATCTTACTTGTTAAGGTTATTACCTATAAAGACTAACAGTTACATAGAATTTTTATTGCTATGAGAATAAATGTTACTAGTCAACTCTTGACAGTTGCCTCAGTGAAATCCTATCAAGGGTAAGGTTGTGACCATGTTTAAAATTTTCTGTTCTGGATAATAATCTTCCTGTGCTCCAGTCCTGACAGTGTTCCACAATTCAAACCTATATATTCAGTTTCCTGTTGATACCTGATCTGCTTCCAGAGGTACTTTAAAACCCTCAACATCTTTAAAACAAAGTTGTTGTTGTTGTTTATCTCCATTCTTAATCTGTTCTTGTATAGTGCCTAAATTGATGTCATCACTGGAACCATCTTTGACTTTCTCTTTCTTAATCACCAAGTATTGTCAACTGCTTTTTAAATGAACCTCAGATCTCTCCCCTTCTCTATCTATGTTTTCCTTGATTTAACTTAAGTTCTTGTGTAAGTGATCTCTCTGCCTGTCTTCTCTCTTTGATCTTCACACTGACTCTAGGGCAATCTTTTGAAAATACAAACTTGAATTTTTCACTCTCTTGTTTGAAAATATGCCTTTTCATTTCCTACAGTTTAGGTAATTTTTTTTTTTTTTAGCCTGATCTACAAGGTCTTCATGATCTGGACATATTCTAAAATGGGTTCATTCCTCCCTAACCCCCTTCCCAATACACATTCTTCCTTCCTATTCTGCGAACACTAGACTACTTGATATTCCTTAAATATTTTGTGTATTTTCTTGTGTTTTGTGCTTTTTGTTAGGTTGTTCCTTCTCCATAAAAGGGCATATCCTTTTTAGTCAGGATTTTTTTCTTTTTATTGCATGTAAATTTAAGAAAGCAGTGTAAACTTACTGATTATAAAATATTTAAACAATGTAGATATTTACACAGTAAAAAAAAAAAAAAAAAAAGCCTCCCTGTTACTGTAAAATTCATCATCTCGTTCCACAGGTAATTTTTGTTAACAAGTTGGTATATATTATACAAGACGGGTTACTCTGCATTTCCATGTACATATGTATATACATGCAGGAAACCAACATTTCATTGACAGCTCTCTTTCTTTCTCCCCATATCTAATCACTTGCCAAGTCTTACTGATTTTATCCTCTAGAATCTATTCCTCATTTTCATCTCTGCTGCCACCCTGATCCAGGCTATCATCATTTCCTTCTTAAATATATGACTCCAACTCTGGTTGACTACCTATTCATTCTTTCGAACGCAACTGGAGCTTTTAAAATTGCAGATGTGATCCTTCCATCTCCCAACTTTTCCTTCTTAAAGCTTTTTATCGGCTTCTGTTGTTCTTATGAGTTTGCCAAAAGGTATTAATTCTGACCTAGGAGGCCAGGAAGGATCTGACATTTGCCTCTTCCCTTGTTTACTGTGCTCCACCTTCAATGACTAGCTTTCTTCTACTTAAATACATTATGTTCTCCCCAATTTTAGGTCTTTGTTTACCAGATACTTTTCCCTGAAGGTATGGAAAAGTTTTATTTCTATAAATTTATCATTTTTTTATAGATAAGTTTTAAAATAGCTAAGGCTCTAAGAGTTTATGTGGTCATTTACATTACCATAGTATTGTTCATAACTTCAATCATTACTCCTTATGTAGTTTATGTAAAAATTATCCTTCAAAAATATTTTAAGGTATTAGTATTGCTAATCTACAATAAACCTTGTACAAGAAGTCCTAAAGCAATTAACAACCTTCAGTTATAGTATAGTTTGTCATATAATAAAATTCTATGCAATACTTTCCTTTATTATGTTTGTTAAAAACATATAGTCTAAAGTGTAAAACATAGTGTAAAAAAATATGTATAAAATAATTAATGGTTGCCAAATCCAAGCCTACTGGGTGCCAGAACCTTCAAACATATTTGAAAGATTGATTGTAATCAAGAAAAACCTGCTTTCCAGCGATTCACATTTATTAATTCAGCCCACTACACACTTACAGCAAGAGACCATTCTTGATATATTTGGCAGTACACTGGGTGCAAAGGTCAAGACTTAGGAGGGCAATAAGACAGAACTTTTTTTAGCTCTGGGTATATTTTGAATCAGTAGAAAAAGTGTGAAGATTCAAGAGTGGTTGGAGATAGGGAAATGGTTGCCAGACAACCAGCAGAGGAAGATGATGTAACCTACGATTCTTGGATAGCATCAGAGAAAAGAAGAAATAGTTGGCCTTGGAAAGGAGGACAGAAGACTTTTTTATCTTCTGATACTCTTAAAAATCGGGAGGAAACATCAGTAAATATTGGATTGATTTACTATTTCAGGAGTTCAGGAGAACAGAGAAGATTTGTGGAAAGTAGAAAGAATTTATGTCTGATTTGTTTTATTTTCCAATTTTTGAGGAATCTAAGATATTTGAGGGTGGAGACAGTGAATTTAGAAGCTTAGGTGAAATAAAGGTTTAATGTTGCTCTGAGAATTTGTAAATGACTTAAGGATGAGTAAAAGATTTATTCAGCCATTTTGGATGCCATGTTGCAGTTGGATAATAGGCACAAAGGAAGTGTGTTGAGTTGACTAGGTTTGGGAATTTGTTAAGTGGGTACTAGGTAAAGTCCAGTTCTGCTGAAAGTATAGTTTGAATGATTGGCAAAGGTGTTGAAGGTGGTCAGAGAAGTCAGCAAAGGCTGATGGCCTGGGCCTTTTTTTTTTTTTTTCCAAGGTCTTACCTTATTTTAATTAGCCGTGCCAAATATGCAGAGACTCTGGTCTTATGTAGCAGTTTTTCCTATAATTTTTCATGGCTGATTTTGTTTAGCTAGAGAAGCATCTTTGAAAGCAATCCTTGAATTCCCTTCATCTGTGTCACGTTGTTCACAGTGACCTAGACAGAGTTCTTTGACATCCAAGTAAAAATGTTTCTTAAAAATTGAAATAATCTGCCAGACATGGTGGCACACATCTATAATCCCAGTGATTCAGGGGGCTGAGGCAGGAGGATCACAATTCAAGACCAGTAAGGGCAACTTAGAGAAACCCTGTCACAAAATAAGAATAGCTGGGAAGTAGCTCAGTGATAGAGCATCACTGGGTTCAATCTCTAGTACCACAAAAAATATTATATAAAAATTAATAAAGTAGATGCTTTGTGACAGGCACTATTCTGGGTGCTAAACAAATATATTAATGCATTTAATTTTTATCATTGCATCTGAGATAAGTACTGTTGTCCCCTTTTTATTTAAGGAGAAAATGGAGATGCAGAGCAGTTAAGTAGCTTGTCCAGGATTCTAGAACTGGGAGGTAAGCAGTGTATTGTGGTGGTTAAGGACAGACTGTGGAACCAGATGGCCATAGTGAGGATTAAATGGATCAGTATATGTAATGCCCTTACAACAGTGCTCAGTGATTTCTGTCAGATGATCAACTATCATTGTGGTGGTGGTAATGACTGGCGTTGTTATTAAGATTGTACTTGCTAAGAAATCTTTATCATTTGATGAAACACTTATTTTCATACTGAGTAGTATGCTCTCTGCCCTTCAGGGTAGACTATCCTTTTCTAATATGTTTTTGATATTAGAAAGTCTCACTTACACTGAGTAGATTCCTTCTTTAACTTCCACTCTTTCATTCATGTCCAGTTCATTGAAAAATGAAGTCTTATTCCTCATTTTTAAGGTGTCCTCCTTAAAAAATCAGAAATTCTGATTTTTCTCTGGTGTCTGCTTCTTGCTTCTAGATTTTAGAAATCTTGAGCAGTTCCTTCAGTTTACTCCCTCTGTGAAATAAGTCAGTCATTATTTTGGCAACCATGATTTTCAGAAGATTGTAATCCCTTCAAGACTGTATTTCCCTTCCTGGGTCAAATATGAGAGATGGTCTAATATCATGAGGTTTGCCAGTAATAAAAATTAATACTAATATGGGCCAAGACGTTCTTTTCAGTGACTTACTCATAAGTCCCTATTACTTCCTTAATTTTCCCTTTTGGAATTTAGTTGCTCTTTGTTTTCTCCTGATGATCAGAATTTTTTTTTCTTATTTGAAATAAATCCGGATTTCCAGCTAACTAGCTGCTTGTTAATTTTGTTAGCATTGTTGCTTCTATTTTGAATCAAATGATATGTTTATTTAAAATGATGCCTTTAGATATCATATTAGAGG